TCCCGGTGAGGCTCGAACTCACGACCTTCAGATTATGAGACTGACGCGCTGCCGACTGCGCTACGGAAGCTCAAGTCTGCAGCTCTCTCTGAGACACCTAGTAATCAAATCCTCGTTCTCTAAGCTAAAACATTTATAAACCAAAATTCTGTCCCTTAAGCTGACCTGCCTGGTAGACTACATGTAAAGACTAAATACTATTGCCTAGATAGCAATGCCTGTAAGCTATATGATTTTTTGATTATTCTGAAAGAGGATATGCCTCAATAAAAAACAAAGTAATTTTAGGTTTTCTTGTAATTTGGAGTCATTTTAGCTTTTTACTGTAAAAATCGCTTGACCCATTAAGTGATCTTCATTAAAGAGAGATTATGCGTTATGTATTATTTTACAGATGGTGGCGACAATTTGAATGTCTTTCTTGGCCTGAAGATCTACTCAGCATGTTATGCACTGTCATTCATGCTAATGATGAGACCAGCCAGCGAAGGCGTCATACAATTGCCAGATACATTAACCTCTCAACTGCACTAGCGTGGTTTGTACCTTTAGTGTTCAAATTAGTGAATTTAAACAAATAAATAGAAAATGTCTAGGAGAGATCTTTCGAAAAAGATTCGTCTTCGTTTCCCAAACGTGTCAAATTTCATTGATGCCGGCTTACTCACAGAAAAGGAATTCGAAATATTGGAAAAGATCAATGTAAGGTCGTCTTCGATGCGTCGCATCTTCCGTAATCGAATTGTAAAACAAGAAATGATGTGTTTCAATGACGATACATGACGTATGACGTGAGAAAACATAGAAAAAAGTTGTTTATTAATTACTTGTAGTTGAAGCTGATAGAAATAGAGTCCAGTAAAGGATCACCGTTTCCGTCGAGTTTTAGAACCCATTTGGTGTGACTGCCAACCATTTCAGTTAAATTCTATTACTTCCAAGTTTTAGGATGAGTGTGAGACAATCCGATGGATGGCCCCGTTACACTGGGTTCAGCAAATTATGCGCAAAGAAGAAGAGGTCTCAATCAAAATGATTTGTTTAGTTTAGAGTAATATAATAGAATTTTCAGGAGAAAAAACCTACAACTTCACTTTATAATAATTTTATGACTGAATTGAAACTTTTTCGGCAGTCTTTACGAAAGCTGTTTTGTTACGATTGGGTCTGTGTGCCACTTGTTTACACTCAGGTATGCGTGTCTTTGTCCCCAATATTCATACATTCTAAATATGGTTACAAGTTTGCAATAGTGCCAGACAAAAAAACAACTATACAAACTTTTCTGTAACTTTTAATCTTGATAATGAGAGGTCATCAGAGCAGATGGAAATTAAAATGCGAGGCGTTTTCCATATTTCCCGCCTCAATCTACGGTACATTCCAAGATCGTTATTTGAAGAATGAAATTCG